GTACCCCGTATACAGCTAAGTGTGATTCCCACACCCACCCCACAACCCCCACCCCACAACCCACCCGAACCAGGCCAACACAGACCAGTATGATCCCCCGTTGTGTTGGTCCGATCGATATCTTCTCCCCCCCCCCCCCCCCCCTCCATCTTCTAGCACAGCTTAGCTCGCCTGGACTTTCCGGTCGTCTCAAATCACGGCGCTAGTGTGTTTGGCCGTGGTTTGACGCGAGATTTGCCGGTCGTTTCACGGCGCTAGTGTGTTTGGCCGTGGTTTGACGCGAGACTTGCCGGTCGTCTCACGGCGCTAGTGTGTTTGGCCGTGGTTTGACGCGAGACTTGCCGGTCGTCTCACAGCGCTAGTGTGTTTGGCCGTGGTTTGACGCGAGACTTGCCGGTCGTCTCACGGCGCTAGTGTGTTTGGCCGTGGTTTGACGCGAGACTTGCCGGTCGTCTCACGGCGCTAGTGTGTTTGGCCGTGGTTTGACGCGAGACTTGCCGGTCGTCTCACGGCGCTAGTGTGTTTGGCCGTGGTTTGACGCGAGACTTGCCGGTCGTCTCACGGCGCTAGTGTGTTTGGCCGTGGTTTGACGCGAGACTTGCCGGTCGTCTCACGGCGCTAGTGTGTTTGGCCGTGGTTTGACGCGAGACTTGCCGGTCGTCTCACGGCGCTAGTGTGTTTGGCCGTGGTTTGACGCGAGACTTGCCGGTCGTCTCACGGCGCTAGTGTGTTTGGCCGTGGTTTGACGCGAGACTTGCCGGTCGTCTCACGGCGCTAGTGTGTTTGGCCGTGGTTTGACGCGAGACTTGCCGGTCGTCTCACGGCGCTAGTGTGTTTGGCCGTGGTTTGACGCGAGACTTGCCGGTCGTCTCACGGCGCTAGTGTGTTTGGCCGTGGTTTGGCGAGAGTTTTTCCCTTTCCCTACTTCTTCACAAAAGTTCTTCTTTTCTCGCCCATTGCCGAGACCATTACTTGTCTGCTATCTTTTAAAATTATGCTGCCGTTTGTGTTTTGGTGCCATTTTGTCAGATCTCTGATCATGACTGATATTGTACTGCATCGTTGCAGTTTCTTATCTGAAGAATGGGGTCTGTCGTCTTGTCGTCTTTAACACTTTTCTTTTCTGGGTGAGCCCGAGACTCGTGTAACCTCTATCTCCCCCACCCCCTGTGTGTCACACCTGCCTCCCCCTCCGTGTGTCACACCCGCCCCCCCCCCCCTCTGTGTGTCGCACCCGCCCCCCCCCCCCCCCTCTGTGTGTCGCACATCTGTCTCCCGCACCCACCCCCGTGTGTCACACCTCTGTCTCCCCTCTCCCTGTGTGTCACACCTCTCATATCCCACGATTTGTCTCTCTCTCCTCCATGTATGTCATATCTCTGTCTCCTCATAAAACAGCTTCCCTCTCTTGTCTAACGTGTTGACTGTTATCGATTCTGATTGGTTGACTTTGATCACATGCAGGCGTCTATATTTAGACTGGCTGGGTCTATTCTAAGATTGGCTCCTTGCTAAGCTGGGATTTATTTTCTTGCTCTCAAAATAGTAGACATGGGGGGGGGGGGGGGGGGGGGGGGGGGGGGTCGGCAGAGAGGGGATGTTGGCAGAGAGGGTATGTCGGCAGAGAGGGTATGTCGGCAGAGAGGGTATGTCGGCAGAGAGGGTATGTCGGCAGAGAGGGTATGTCGGCAGAGAGGGTATGTCGGCAGAGAGGGTATGTCGGCAGAGAGGGTATGTCGGCAGAGAGGGTATGTCGGCAGAGAGGGGATGTCGACAGAGAGGGGATGTCGACAGAGAGGGGATGTTGGGATAGAGGGGATGTTGGGATAGAGGGGATGTTGGCAGAAAGGTAAGGGATGTCAGTAGAGAGGGGATGTCGAAAGAGATTTCATTATATTGATGAGAAGCCTTGATAGTTTACACTAATTAGCACCACACATAAGCCTTCAACTTTGATACATGCATCCATCAAACACTTGCTTCGTATCTGCCTAACTCCTCTCCATTCCAATATTTGTTCAACAGTACCCCATCCATCCACACTTTAAAAACTCCATGCACTCACAGCCTCTAATTAATTAATAAGCTAATTACTTTTATTTACCATCTCGCATCCCCCTTCCCCCGGTGGTGTGATTAATGATTTGTTTTTTAATTGCTACGTTACTCCGACTTAGTCGACAATTAAAAATATGCGGTTACCGCCTTGACCCAGTTTTTAATATACAATCTTTCTTTACTCTACTTCCCCTGCCGCGGCGCTGCATCGATGCCAACATGAAACTGATGAGTACACTAGCAGCAGCACTGTTTGACCTTGAAACTCGGGCAGCGGATTCAATTAGAGATTAATTATCCAGGTTTTAAATACCTTTACTGCAATTGGTTAAACGACTTGAGACTTTCAGAGGAATAGCATGCTCCAATGGGAACACCCTAACAAAGATGTTCTAGATGAAAATCCCAAGGATAGCTAAACATCATCCACTCAATAGACACGCACAAACTTGAGACGGGGGGGGAATGTATCAGGACACATTGTTCAAGTGGACTGACGGTTTATTAAGACGTCCTGCAGTTGCTTGGCTGGAATAGGGCTGGTAAGTAGGTCACTGACCATTTCTATGGCTCATGCAGGCTTTATTGAGCCGTAGAACTAGTTGGCGACCTACTTACCAGCCCTATTATCGATGATGAGGCGACGGAGACACATACGTTGCGTCATAATTAAATGAAGTAATTTGAATTTTTTAAAATAACATAACCAAAAATTGACTTCGGAAAGTTATTTGATAGCTACTAGTTTTTAATTTTATGAAAGACTTTTTTCTCCTCCACTGGCAATAGAAATTAGTTTAAGAAATTTTGTCCAAAAGAATGACGCCCCTGTTTTAAATGATTGGGGGGGGGTGGTATCGCTCTACCTGCCTACGCCTCTGCTACACGAACATTTCTAACCGTCTATTTTGACATCTCGACTGTTTTTATTTCATATGATATGTCTGCTCCCTATAAATCAAAAATCACCTTTTTTTGCCAAGCAATATCCTCACCCCCCCCCCCCCCACTCACCCCCAATCTTACGCACCGTGTCACTTGATATAAACATGCGACCCGATACCCAGATACGCCGTAGGTTGAACCCTAACCCTAACGTATTGTCCTCAGGATGGGTGTCGGCTTACGTGGTCAGGCGACGCTCTTACCGGTCTAATACCTCGACACTGAGTGACGTCAGAAAGTAAGTCAGTAGGTCAGTCAGTCAGTGGCTGACACCTCGTCATGAATTCATCGATAGTTACGTCACAGCTGTTGATGAGGTGTCCGGCCCAAACACCTTGGCCAACACCAGGTCATAAATCCACCCGATTTAACCACCCCAAACCCATATTTTTTTCTCCTCTTAAAAAACGCACCTGTCATAATTTCCAAAGTTTTAATGATCCCTTCCCCTAGTACATACAATCCAATAATGTTCCCAAAAATCAATGGATTTTTTTTTTTGGAAAAAATATAAAAACATAAACATAAGCTACGAAAAATTGACCCCCCCCCCCCCCTTTGAATTCATCAAATGTCACAAAATGTACAATAATTTTTTATTACCATGGCCACCTTGATCAGATATTAAGATTTTTTTTTTTATGGGCATGCCTTGTTTAAAAAAATTTTATTTGAAGTTTTGATTGTGTGTGTTATGATTTCTTTGTTCACAAAACGATAGTTAAACCCGTACCTCCCCCCCACACCTCACAGTCACAGAAGCAATAGATCCAACCCCTCCCCCCCCCCCCCCCACGTCTGACTTCATTGGTCGATTTTTTGTTTCCCCTCCACGTGTGACTAAATATACCACGAGTGGTTACAATAAAAAAAAAATAGGTTGAGAAGAACTCAGTCACGCCTCGTTGACCCCCGCACGCTGTGCCGTCACGGATGGGTGGCCCGGTCATAAAACACAAAATGGTGTAACTGACACAAAGGCGACGGTTACGTTGTGCTGGGTTGGATGCGGGAGGGGGGGGTGCGGTACCAGATGTCTTTGATGGATCTCGGTGGAGGGCTAGTTAACATATTAATCAGGTAAATTTTAAAATGTTTTTGTGTGTGAAATATAATACCTGTATTTTTATTTGCTAAGAAAGGATGGAAGGTAGTACGGGTGGTTGAGGCGATACAATGGCTGGTCAAGTGGTTGAGAGAATAGTGTCGTATTTCGTGTTGAGTTGTTCGATACTGTAGTTTATTGTTCAGCTGTAGTATCAGGTTAGTTTTTTAGACGTTTTGAAATATGTGTTTAGTTTATGATGAAAACCGCGGCTGAAATTGAGGACGGATGATTGGTTGGGTAACTTTTGAGCGACTAGATTTGAGTGTACAAGATTGAGAGGCTAAGTAACTGGAGTGATTATGTGTGACTAACTCTGTTTATTTTGGAGCGACTGTCTGAATGACTAAGTTTGTTCAAAATGGAGTGATTATTTTTTTTAATGGCTAAGTTTGTTCATGATGGATTGACCGTGTTTAAATGGCTAGGTTTGTTCATTATAGAGAGAGTATTTTAATGACTACATTTGTTCATTATAGAGAGAGTATTTTAATGAATAAATTTGTCATTATAGAGAGAGTATTTTAATGACTAAATATGTTCATTATAGAGTGTCTATGTCAAAATGATTAAGTTTGTTCTCACTATGGAGTGACTATTTTTAATGACTGAGTTTGTTCATGACGGAGTGACTATTTTTATGAATAAATTTGTCTATTATAAAGTAATTAGGTCTGAGTGACTGAGTCTCAGTGACTAAGTCTCAGTGACTAAGTCTCAGTGACTAAGTCTCAGCCACTAAGTGTCAGTCTCCAAGTCTCAGTGACTAAGTCTCAGTGACTAAGTCTCAGTGACTAAGTCTCAGTGACTAAGTCTCCAAAAGGTGAAGCTATTCATGCTGCTTTGTTTAAGAGATTTATTGAAACGTAACACTTTCTTTAACACTCTGCAGGTTACAACCTCTCAAAGGTCCACATGTGGAGACAAGGTTCCTGATTGCAGGCATCCCCTCATTGCAAGTACTACCTGACTGCAGGTACTGCCTGACTGAAGGTACTTACCTGAAAGCAGGTACTGCCTGACTGCAGGTACTGCCTGATTGAAGATATTTCCTAACTGCAGTACGTGCCACTACTGTGATTCACCTAACTGCAGGCATCCCGTGACTGCAGGCACTGACCTGATTGCAGGCAACCCCCTGTCTGCAGGCACTAATCTCCCTGACCTTGACACCGGATGTCACCTGTGTTCAGCTCGCCAGGTGACCACCTGTTCATGCTGTTGGTCAGGATCTACACCAAATTCCGGCGACTTCACGTCCAGGGGGAGATTAACTGGACCGGATTATCCCACTGTTGCACGGACTTCTAATCCATCAGTCACTGAGTCCAATTGTTCTCCGCACAGAAAGTAAAGGTAAGCTTAGTTTTGTATTGCAGGCTAGACCATGTGCAAGCTAGACCGTGGGCAACTTAGACCAGGGGCAAACTAGGCTATGGGCAAGCTAGATCTATAATATTTTGTCAACACTATATTATGCAAGCCCTATTATATGTGGTCCATACTACATGCAAGCCCTATTATATGTGGTCCACACTACAAGCAAGCCATATTATATGTGGTCCATACTACATACAAACCACATTATATGTGGTCCATACTACATACAAACCACATTATATATGGTCCATACCACATGCAAGCCATATTATATGTGGTCCATATAACTTGCCAGCCATATTATATGCAACCGATGAAATGGCGCATTGATTTTATTTGAACATCCTGCTACGGGGATTAATGCTGCTAGCGTGTCCAAACATCCGGTTGGAAAATGTCAGTCGTCTCCCTTGTCAGTTTCCAATCAGGATTCTCTTCTCCTGACATATGTCGTAAACACAACGTCACAGCTCTGAGCGGTCTGACGTCATATTGCCACATAGGCGCTCGGCGGTATCAGCTTACAATTCGATAAATAAAAACTATTTAAAAAAAAAAAAAAGATAGAAAAAGATAATTAGACTAAAAATATCCAAACAGTATGACGTTGCTTAAAAACAGCAGTAATTTACCACCATCACCACCATCCTACAACCATCACCACCATCCTACAACCATCACCACCATCTTTCAACAATCACCACCATCTTACAACAATCACCACCATCCTTCAACCATCACCACCATCCTACAACCATCACCACCATCCTTCAACCATCACCACCATCCTACAACCATTACCACCATCCTACAACCATTACCACCATCATACAACCATCACCACCATCTTACAACAATCACCACCATCTTACAACAATCACCACCATCATACAACCATCACCACCATCTTACCACCATCGCCAACATCCTACAACCATCACCAACATCCTACAACCATCACCACCATCCTACCAACATCACCACCATCTTATACCATCATAGCCATCCTACAAGTACTACCACCATCTTATTAACATCTCCACCATCCAACCACCATCTATCAACTTTCTATTATAAACATGCTTTTATTTACGTTCAGTATTTCGCTACCCTAACTCTAAAGACAACTTTCTGCTACATGTTAACGTCTTTTGTCGACTCACGCGCGTGAAACCATCCGTCAACAACAGCTCACCTCCTTGACCCCGCTGAACGAGCTACTGCGAATACCTAATCCTGTTATCCCCCTTTTCTTGTTGATTATAGTCACCTTTACGTTGATTTTTAATGACTAATGTATATTTAAAATTGGAGATTTTCTGTGTTGTCATTGGAAGCAAACTTGTCAGTAAAGTTTTTTTTTAGAATTGGGTCACATTTGAATAATTTATGCATCCACCCGCCGTATTTTATTCAATGAAAGTATTGATTTCACATTTTTGTTTAGATTCGTATCCGCTGGCCAAAGTTACGATTTTGGATTTCTAGTTTAGTTTTCTTGCAGAGGAGTAGGCCTACGTTTGAATGCAAGAATTTTTGTCACTCCGAAGTCTTGATTTTACTTTGTAAAAACCATGACTTTGACAATGCGGTCAATTTTTAAAAAAACTCTTGTCTTGAACCCTTCAGTCCGAACCCTGTCTTAAACCCTGCAGTCAGAACCCTGTCTTAAACCCTGCAGTCACTGAGAACCCTGTCTTAAACCCTGCAATCAGAACCCTGTCTTAAACCCTGCAATCAGAACCCTGTCTTAAACCCTGCAATCAGAACCCTGTCTTAAACCCTGCAATCAGAACCCTGTCTTAAACCCTGCAATCAGAACCCTGTCTCAAACGAGTCTTGAACGAGACAGCGACATGGCCTTGCCTGTCCCTAGACTTAATCCATTTTATCTGTGCCCTGGCCCAAGGATCGATCCCCTCTCCCATACGAATATCGATTCGGAAAACGGTCTCTCTCGCCAGCTCTCTCCAGAGTCGATCCATTGACAGCCACGGTGGGGATATTCTCACTGCTTGTCTGGGGGAGATGTGTGCGGAGGTCCTAGAAGTTAGTGCATTCAGTGGTGTATAGTTGGTACATTCAGTGGTGGATAGTTGGTACACTGGTCAGAAGATAGTTGGTACACTAGCCATAGACTGTAGCCGCTGGCTAGCTGTTATCACTCACCAGAGGCTACTTGCTAGCTGTTAACTCATCAACACTTAGCCGTGAATTACGATATGGGAACCAGGATGTGTTTTCGCTACCTAGTGTAGCTTCAGCTACATTGTGCCTACCCGTGTTTAGCACGTGTTGTGGATATGGAAATAATGGGCGTTGTACCAAGGTGGACTCCGTGTGTGTATCAGTGTAGAGCGATGGTGTAGAGGCTAAATCAAGTGTGTATCGGTGTAGAGCGATGGTGTAGAGGCTAAATCAAGTGTGTATCGGTGTAGAGCGATGGTGTAGAGGCTAAATCAAGTGTGTATCGGTGTAGAGCGATGGTGTAGAGGCTAAATAAAGTGTGTATCGGTGTAGACCGATGGTGTAGAGGCTAAATCAAGTGTGTATCAGTGTAGAGCGATGGTGTAGAGCAGGGGTCTCCAAACTTTTCAGTCCGAGGGCCGCATTAACAATCACATTTCAGTTCGGGGGCCAGTTTCTTCCAGGCATGTCTTTGATTTTTCTGGGCAAAGTTCCTAAGCCATCACCAACTAACGATTTTTCCTTGGACAAAAGGATCTCCGCGGGCCGGATGCGAGGACTTCGGGGGCCGCATCCGGCCCGCGGGCCGTAGTTTGGAGACCCCTGGTGTAGAGGCTAAATCAAGTGTGTATCTGTGTAGAGCGATGGTGTAGAGGCTAAATCAAGTGTGTATCAGCGTAGAGCGATGGTGTAGAGGCTAAATCAAGTGTGTATCAGCGTAGAGCGATGGTGTAGAGGCTAAATCAAGTGTGTATCAGTGTAGAGGCTAAATCAAGTGTGTATCGGTGTAGAGGCTAAATCAAGTTTGTATCGGTGTAGAGCGATGGTGTAGAGGCTAAATCTTGTGTGTATCAGCGTAGAGCGATGGTGTAGAGGCTAAATCAAGTGTGTATCAGTGTAGAGGCTAAATCAAGTGTGTATCGGTGTAGAGGCTAAATCAAGTGTGTATCAGTGTAGAGGCTAAATCAAGTGTGTATCGGTGTAGAGGCTAAATCAAGTGTGTATCGGTGTAGAGGCTAAATCAAGTGTGTATCGGTGTAGAGGCTAAATCAAGTGTGTATCGGTGTAGAGGCTAAATCAAGTGTGTATCGGTGTAGAGGCTAAATCAAGTGTGTATCGGTGTAGAGGCTAAATCAAGTGTGTATCGGTGTAGAGGCTAAATCAAGTGTGTATCAGTGTAGAGCGATGGTGTAGAGCAGGGGTCTCCAAACTTTTCAGTCCGAGGGCCGCATTAACAATCACATTTCAGTTCGGGGGCCAGTTTCTTCCAGGCATGTCTTTGATTTTTCTGGGCAAAGTTCCTAAGCCATCACCAACTAACGATTTTTCCTTGGACAAAAGGATCTCCGCGGGCCGGATGCGAGGACTTCGGGGGCCGCATCCGGCCCGCGGGCCGTAGTTTGGAGACCCCTGGTGTAGAGGCTAAATCAAGTGTGTATCTGTGTAGAGCGATGGTGTAGAGGCTAAATCAAGTGTGTATCAGCGTAGAGCGATGGTGTAGAGGCTAAATCAAGTGTGTATCAGTGTAGAGGCTAAATCAAGTGTGTATCGGTGTAGAGGCTAAATCAAGTTTGTATCGGTGTAGAGCGATGGTGTAGAGGCTAAATCTTGTGTGTATCAGCGTAGAGCGATGGTGTAGAGGCTAAATCAAGTGTGTATCAGTGTAGAGGCTAAATCAAGTGTGTATCGGTGTAGAGGCTAAATCAAGTGTGTATCAGTGTAGAGGCTAAATCAAGTGTGTATCGGTGTAGAGGCTAAATCAAGTGTGTATCGGTGTAGAGGCTAAATCAAGTGTGTATCGGTGTAGAGGCTAAATCAAGTGTGTATCGGTGTAGAGGCTAAATCAAGTGTGTATCGGTGTAGAGGCTAAATCAAGTGTGTATCGGTGTAGAGGCTAAATCAAGTGTGTATCTGTGTAGAGCGATGGTGTAGAGGCTAAATCAAGTGTGTATCGGTGTAGAGGCTAAATCAAGTGTGTATCGGTGTAGAGGCTAAATCAAGTGTGTATCGGTGTAGAGGCTAAATCAAGTGTGTATCTGTGTAGAGCGATGGTGTAGAGGCTAAATCAAGTGTGTATCGGTGTAGAGGCTAAATCAAGTGTGTATCGGTGTAGAGGCTAAATCAAGTGTGTATCGGTGTAGAGGCTAAATCAAGTGTGTATCCGTATAGAGCGATGGTGTAGAGGCTAAATCAAGTGTGTATCTGTGTAGAGCGATGGTGTAGAGGCTAAATCAAGTGTGTATCTGTGTAGAGCGATGGTGTAGAGGCTAAATCAAGTGTGTATCAGTGTAGAGCGATGGTGTAGAGGCTAAATCAAGTGTGTATCAGTGTAGAGCGATGGTGTAGAGGCTAAATCAAGTGTGTATCTGTGTAGAGTGATGGTGTAGAGGCTAAATCAAGTGTGTATCAGTGTAGAGCGATGGTGTAGAGGCTAAATCAAGTGTGTATCTGTGTAGAGCGATGGTGTAGAGGCTAAATCATGTGTGTATCCGTGTAGAGCGATGGTGTAGAGGCTAAATCATGTGTGTATCCGTGTAGAGTGATGGTGTAGAGGCTAAATCATGTGTGTATCCGTGTAGAGTGATGGTGTAGAGGCTAAATCATGTGTGTATCCGTGTAGAGTGATGGTGTAGAGGCTAAATCATGTGTGTATCCGTGTAGAGTGATGGTGTAGAGGCTAAATCAAGTGTGTATCAGTGTAGAGTGATGGTGTAGAGGCTAAATCATGTGTGTATCAGTGTAGAGTGATGGTGTAGAGGCTAAATCAAGTGTGTATCAGTGTAGAGTGA